ATGAACGAGGATCAATGAAATTTGGGGGTGGGCTGAGTTGTTCATGATTCTATATTACAATGATTATGAACCAATGCTCCGAACATTTGCATAAAAATTCTTTATACTGTAGAGGAAAGTTGCTCCTTCTTAACTAACTAAACTCTCCATTGGCATTGGCATAGTAGTTTAAACAATGATACCTGTGCAGGAGGTAGTACCTGGACATTTGGAATTCATTATCTGTTGTACAAAATGAGTGTAATAAAATTACACTCATTAGTGTAATTACACTAATTTACACTCAATTAGTGTAATAAAATATTGTGGGTAAACAAAAAGTCAGTTGAAAGTGGGCTTCATACATGCTTGCTATATATAGCTCAGAGATAAACAAATATCTTGAAAATTAGGCCCAAGGCCATAAATAAATTTGGCTAACACAGTGTACCCTCAAAGATTACCAATTGTGTGATAAGAACATTCATATTGGGTTTAGCATGGTCAGATTTCACTAAAATGTTGAAACCAATTCTAAGTTTATGAGAAGTTACTGCAAAGAGGTAACATAATCTTTGGTTTCATTGAAGGCATGAGAACATGAGTTTAAACTTTAAATAAGATTTTGAATAAAATGGTGATAAAATTGCTGAAATTGAAAGCTTTTTACCTGTGTGATATTAGTCAGTTGAATATATAAAAACTTTTCCTACTAAAAACAAATCACAACAAATTTCTATTTGAGTCTGAATCATGAAAACATAAGAATAGATTGTCAAATGGACAGCTTGTAAATACATTTAAAAGGAAACAGCAAATGAGAATAGTTTGACTGATAATACAATATTCAAATGTTTTCCTCTCCTGAATGTTGGAGAAAAAAATAAAATTATGCTGAATTCTTAATTTGGTATCACAGATCTCAAACAGTAAACACTCTGAGATAGTCCTATTAAACTTCTACATGAAGACATTTGTTTTTGTTTGCCAATGTGACGACACATCTTGTCCCCTCAAATGTCTAAGAACCACTCTTTCCTTTCACTTCTAGTTGATGTTATAAAGAAAATAGATGCAATAAAACAAAAACTACAACTTCCCACCACATAGTTTACCAACCACAACTATCTTTATCTGCATATCTTTCACTCTTCCTATTAATGAAAATATGTCCTTGATCCTCTAAGAGGCCAGTCTGTTACCTGAGCAGTTAATATTATCCTCTCATGTCTTCTCAATACCTGCAATCCTATAGTCCCTCAATCCCTCTTTTCAGTATCATCTTTCCCCTCTATACTGGATAGTTGCCATAACCTCCCAAATATGCAGTATTATTTACCACCTTCAAAACACCAACTCTTGAGCCTCACCTCTCACTCCTGCCCTAATAATCCACTTTACTTTAAATTCCTGAATTTTCCATAGTCACCGATTTACCTCCAATTTTCTATCCAATTCACTCCAATCTGACATCCTATCTCCCACTACTCAACTGAAATGGCATTTTATCAACAGCAGTCATCACCAAACTGAATGTTTATCATTCTACTTAACAGGAGCATTTGACATATTTTGCCCATTCTTTCATGAAATTTTTGGCTTTCCTTTGCATCATTCTCATGTTTATTAGCCCTTTGGGTATCAATGTCTTATAAATTTAGCTCTTACATTTGGGTCTATGGTCCATATTGTTAATTTTGTAAACAGTATAAGGGTACAATTTCATTTTTTAGTGCATCAGTAATCATTTGTTGAAAAGACTATCATTTGACCATTTAATTACAATTGCCAAAAATCAATTGACCATGTATGTATGGTGGCTTATTTCTGGACTCACAATTCTGCTCCATTGACTATATCTATCCTTAGACCAATACACACTGTTTTGATTATTGTGGCTTGAGAATTAAGTCTTGAAATCGGGTATTGTGCATCTTCAAACACCATTCTTATTCAAAATTGTTCTGGTTATTCTAGATCTTTCACTCTTCTGTATCATATTTTAAATGCATTTGTGAATTTCTGCAAAAGATTACCGGGATTTTTTATTAGCTCTGAATCTGTGGATAAATTTTGTAAGTAACCTGAATAATCTTTCAATTCATTATCTTGTCTATTTAATTGAATATTCTTGAACTTCTGTGAGCAAAACTTTATAATCCTTGAAATGCCAGAGAAAAAATGTTAAATTATCTCTAAGTATGTTTGGTACCATTAGAATATTAATAATATGCCCTTTAAATTATAACTTTTAAATTTCTATTGCTAATCCATAAAAAAACAATTATTTCTGTACATTGACATCGAACCCTGTCAACTTCTTGAATGCGTTATTAGTTCTAATAGCTGGTTTTGTAGATTTTTAAAAGATTTTCTTCATGAGTGATTCTTGCATCTGAGAATGAGAGCCTTACTTTTTCTGTTCCATTCTATGTTCTTTCTTTCTCATACATTACTGCATAGGTTAGTTACCTCCAACACATTGTTGAATAGAAGTAGAGAAAGCAGACATCCCTGCTTTGCTCTCAATCTTAGAGAAAAAGCATTCATTTTCAGATTAGATTTGTCATATCTGCCATTTATCAGGTTAGGAAAATTTTCTTTGATTTCTAGTTGATCAAGAGTTTTTATCATGAATGGATGTTGAATATTTTCAAGTGATTTTTTTTCTACATATTGTGATAATAGATTTTCTTCTTATAGCGTATCAACATTATAAATATAATGAACTCCTGATTGATTTTTGAAAATCTGAGCCAACCTTGCTTTCTGAAGATGAACCTAATTTTCTTAGTAACTATTTGTCCTTCTTTTTGTGTATTGGTCAATTTTACTTGGTAAAATTTCTGCCTCTAGTTGTATTTGATAATGTATTATAATTTTCTTGTCTTTATTTTTGATCAGGATAACGCTGATTACATGAGTTTTGAAGCACTCCATTCTCATCTATTTTCTGGAAAAGTTAATATTGAATAAGTATCATTCCTTCTTTGAGTGTCTAAAAGAGTTCAATAGTAAAACTACCTGGTCCAGGAGTTTTCTTGTAAGAAGTGTTAGGTGTTAGGTGTGTGGTGAGAAGGGGGAGAGAAACTATTTAATCCAAAGATGAAAAATACTTGGATGGAAACAGAGGACTTATTAATCTCCTCAAAGAACCAACTTTGGTTTTCTTCCATTCTTCTGTTTCATTTACTTACATTCCAGCATTTCTTTATTTTGCTTACTTCAGTTTTATTTTGCTGTTTTTTCTTAGTTTTTTAAGATAGAAGTTGAATTTATTAAATTGAGCTCACTGTCCTTATACATAAAGTTACGGTTTTACATTTTAATATTCATTTAATTCAAAATATTTTCTAATTTTCTTTGTGATTTCTCCTTTGAGCCATGGGTGTAACTAGAAGTATATAAATTTCCATATATTTAAGAGACTTTTCTCAGATAACTTTTTACTTATTTCTAGTTTAATTCAATTGTGGTTAGACGATATTGTTTGCATGCTTTCAATCTTCTTAAAGCTGATGAAATTTGTTTTATGGTTCTGAACATAGTCTACCTTAGTAAATGTTCCATCTATACTTGCCAACAGTATACTCTGCTATTTTGGATTGACTTACCTATAAACATCAATTGGGTCAAGGTGGCTGGTGGTGCTGTTGAAGTCCTCTATTTCTTTGAAAATATTAACTAGTCCTTTACGTCCATCCAAGTACTTTCCATCTTTAGAAAGAGGCATGTTTAACTAGTTAATTGATTTGCGTATTCCTCCTATATTTTCCACTTCATGCATATTAAAACGTTAGTTGGTGTATAAATACAGTATTATGTCTTGATTCAATTGACCTCTTTCTGTCAGATTCACTCTTTCGTCTTCTTCAGCCAGGACTCTACCCTGGGAACATAAACTTCATAGTTTGTATCCTTGTCTTCCCTTTTCAGGTGGATTTTAGCCAATGAGAGACACCAGGTGGAGTTTAGAGGGAAAGAAGTTTGGATGGTTTTCTGAGTTGCACGTTGGGGATGGCTGTGCTCTTTCATGAAGTCACCGGAGGAGACTACTAGGTAGGCAGCTGCCTCCTCCCAAAATAAATATCATTAACTCTGGTAATCCCTCTTTCCTCAGTACCTGTTAGGTTTAAGGGTGATAGTGACTCATTGTTCTGGGTGTTTCACCATCACTTCTTATTTTCCGATAACTGTTTATATATCGTAAATGGCTCGCTCACTATGTATCCTTCAATCATTTCTCTTGAGTATGTTTAATTAAGCAGAGAAAGGAGTTATGTAGGAATGAAAGGCGAGATAAATTATATTGCGAGGAATGGGCAATATGGCGAATACTGAAATTATAGCACAATATGTGAATTATAATTTTTCTTGAATCTCAAAGGTGTTATCGCTGACACAAACTCAAACGTTTCTAAGGAGATTTTAAAGGAAACTTATCAAAGATAAAAAAAAAGGCTGAGAATGGGTTACACCATTACCAAAGTGTGCTAAACTTGTCAAGATGCGATGCAAAAAAGGGAAGCAACAGTTTTGACATCGAAGGCAGGGCCATTTGACTTAACGCTTCCATACACCAGATTAGCCTCAATTTTGCACTAGCCTGGCCCACAAGCCATGAACAGGCATCCTAGATCTCAACAAAAGGGCTGCCGGCACGAGCGCGGGAAGGAGACCCCGCGCGGCGCGGGGACGTGGGGGGGTAAAGGTGACACCCCCTTTTGAACTCAGAGGACCAAAGCTCTTGCTTAGGCCCAGCCCGAATAGAACCCCGCCGTTCTAGCCTTTCCTCACCTCAGCCTCGGAAAACCAATTCCGCTTCCCAGTGAGGCCCTGCCCCTCTGCGGACGTACTAATTAAATCTTTTAAAAAAGAAAAAAAAAAAACGAAAAAAAGTAAAGGCGCCGACCGTAAAGGCCTCAGCCTGAACTCTCGCGAGAACTCGCAGCGCGCCGGCAGTGCCCCGGGAGAACGCGCGAGCCGGCCTCCGGGGGGCGGGCCGCGCCGGGGCCCCGCCCTTCCTGAGCGTCGTGGCGCCGTGGCGGGAATTTCGCCCGTTTCCCCTGTAGATCCTAGCGGCACCGGAGCGGTGGTCTGCACGGCCGAGGGCGGCTCTCGGGGACTGAAAGTGTGAGAAGGTGGGACTGGCATCAGACTCGCCCTGGTACACGGAAGTCCGGCTCCGCTAGTCCATCGCCTGCCCCGAGCTGGTCCCTGCGTGTGCTCACTTGGCGGGACCTGGCCTCTGGCTAGAGGGATTTGGGGTTGGCGCGACGGGTGGTTCTCATCCAGCCCCCCCAGCCTCACCCGACCTACACCCCCGAACCCCAGGAGTCAGCGAGCGGGCTTTTCCACTGCCCTGCCGGAGAAGTGGCTTCTATCTGCTTGGTAAGGTAGTGGATGGCGCTGGTGGAGGCGGGCCCGGAAGTTGAGGCTGAGTCTGTCTTGCTAACTTTCCTGTCCTGACTGCAGGGCCCACCTGGAGGGGCAGATACTGAGTTACTGCCACTGCTAGTGGGGTACTTTCACAGTTCTGACAGCCTTGATCACGGGGAGTTGGTGGGGGGAGAGTTTTGGAGGATTTGACTTCTTGATGTCTTTCTTTCTGTCGGAGTGGGGAGAGGGAGAGGGCGTTTGGGGAATTTCAGTGAATGTCTCCACCCAGCCCACTTCCAGAAATTCATGAATCCTAAACTTTTCAGGACATGAAGTAAACCATGGATAATTGTTCCACTGCGTCGACCTTCCTGACAGACAGCTTGGAGCTGGAGTTGGGAACAGAATGGTGCAAACCGCCTTACTTTTCTTGTGATTTTGATAACAGGGGAGGAGGAAAATATTTTTCTGGGGAGTCCTACCTTACCAGCGGAGCCCTTAAGCGGTGGGTAAAAAATATCGGAAGCCTTTTTTCCCCTTTTTCAGATTTTCATCAGTGTGTTAGGAATGCTCTTTAGTTATCACTGGATAGGATTAAATTTTTAATATAGTCTAACTGTAGTAGTGTAATATGGATTCATATAATGCCCAAAGGAAGATATACTATAGTATGGAATTTAGCACACATTATGAGACTAAATCAGAGTTTTCATTTCAGACTAATTTTGAATCTTGATCCTTTACCAACTAATTTTGAAGAAGACACAGTGGAAATATTTGGTATTCAGTGGGTTACTGAAACAGCATTAGTGAATTCATCTAGAGTGCTCTTTCATTTATTCAGGTATGTGGTTCTTTTTTTTACTGACTGAGTATCCATGCTGTTCAGTTTTGTAAGTTACCTGGTTGATCTTTTTCTAATAAGATCTAATACAAAAGCTGCACAGAGTGGTGTTTGTTGCTCATTGGATTCTTATTAATGATAGCAGTCAAGCAGTAATGTTTATTGGAGTAATGGTTTTAATGAGAGATTGTTTAGTGATTTCAGAATCTTTATGCTTTTGTTTTTGACATCATGTATTAAAGACAAATGCTTAAGACTATGAACTATGTTACAGTTTTGGAAGAAAACTAAAATACTTTTTTGCTTGATCGCCATAGTCTTTCAATAACCTTTAGAGAATGAACTCAGTCTTTACAACTGTACCTTTTAGACTGTAAATAGAAATATGATTAATTAAAGAAACTTAATGAAAATTTTCAAACATACACAATTGTAAAGAGAATAATATAATGAACCTCTACATACCCTCCCTCAGTTATAATAAACATCCAGGTTATATCATATTGTCTTCATTGTGTCCTTCCCCCCTATTTTTGGCTTAAATATTTTCAAGCAAGTTCCAGGCATATGGTCTTATCTTCAAAAACTTCATATACATTTCTTAAACATACGAACTTTTTAAAACATGAACACTATCTCATGATTCCAATCAACAAAATTGAAATAATAATTTATATTCATTTAAACTTAGTCCATATTTACATTTTAGATAATTTAGAAAGGAAGTCAAATCATTTTCCAAAATTATTTTAATGACATTGGAAAGGTAGGTGAATTTCTCCTCTCTCATCCCATGAGACCTTGTGAAGAAACATCACTGTATCTGTGCCATGCATATGTTTTATTTGGAGAATACATTGAGTCAATCATTTGCTATAGTCCTTTTTTTCAACTCCTATAGTAGAACTGTATTGTGTACAATTTAACAATTATTAACCTCCGGTGTTTTATATAATTGTCTTAAACTTTTTAAAAATATAAACAATATCTTGATAGTGAAATCTATATTTGATCTTATTTCTGAACTAAATGGAAGGTCAGAAAGACATGTTTTGTCATGTCAGTCTTTGCTACCTGAAGCTGACACTGACATGAAATATTAAACATACACAAAGGAGAGGTTTTGATGCTGTGTAATTGATTGGGAAACACTGTCCTCCTGATTGTTACATGCTTTCCTCTATTCTAAAATTAATTCTCACCTTACTTTTTTATTTTAATTTAGGCAGCAGCTATACAACTTGGAAACTTTATTACAGGCCAGCTGTGATTTTGGTAAGTTTTAAGTGGGTTTATGGTGGAAAAGAGTTGTGTTTCATTAAAGTGAATTGCACAAAGATCTGTGAAGCACGTTGAGCTATCATAATAACATGAAGGAAATGTTAGGTCAGAAGTTAAGTGCACAGTATATTTAGTGTTCAGGAAAAGTACTTGTAAGATAAAGTGCCAGATTTCATGCTATCTTCTTGCTCATCTTTTCTGCTTTTTTTGTTCTTGTTTTTCGCATCTACTATATTGATGATTGGGGAAGAGGGGAAGAGGATTGTGGTATAGTTAAAGTAGCAGAGGGAATTGAAGGGCAGTGTATTTTAGTGAAGCCTACCTGCTTCTCCTGGAAGTTTTGGTACACTGTAGTATTTAGAATCATGGCTGTGTGGTCAGGCTGAATTCTAACCTTAGGTAATTGTAGGTCTCACACCAAGTAATAGCTCCTAATTCACTGAGTTCTTTTAAGGGTTAAATGATACAATGCATGTTAAGTGCTTAGCCTAATATCTATTTTTAGTGTGCCTGGCACCCAAAGAACACCAGGACATACCTTTGGTCAAATAAGCTATTAAGTAGATTAATAAGCAAGGAGGAAATGTACATCATGAGGAACAGCTAGGGCTTCTTAGTAAGGGTGAATAGAGAGGGGTTTGTGATAGAGTTTGGGCTTATTCTGGCTAGTTTGGGTTAAAGTGTAAGGAGACTAAGGCTTTATTCTGGATTGGGTACTGTTAAGAAGCATCAACAATTCTATGATGATGATTACGTTAATTTTTATCTAGGAGGTGGGACAAAGGGAGCCTAATCCTAATTAATAAAGATGGCAATAGTCATTTTAGCTGAAAAGGAGGATGCTTTTTTTTTATTGTGTTTATTTTTATGTGATTGCTTAGTGCCTTGTTTCTGGGTCAGACATGATTACAGAGAGGTTTTGTTTTTGTCTTCTTTTTTTTTTCACCATAATCATGGAATGGCCCTGTCTGATTATTTTTGATATTTTATGAAAATTATTTAATTTCAGTGGGGAACACCATGGCCTACCTGTTAGCAGTCAATTGTCAGGGCTGTTTTATTTATTTTGTTTTGTTTTCTCAGTATGTGCTCAGTAAGTAAATGTTGAATATTATTGTTTCATTATCACCTGAGTCCTTGCTTTATACCAGTATTGTGCAGAAGTGCTGATGAATCAAAGAGGAAAATTATGCTTCTTAACAGTTTGCAATTGAATAGGACAGGCATGCAAGCATAGGTCAGCATAGAAAATGGAAAAGTATGATGATAGAGACATGTATAAGCTATTACAGGAGCCAAGGACTTCATCTGTCTGTGTGCCCATTACTGAGACATACCATATCTCAATCTTCAAGAAATAGGAAGAGTTAACCAAAAGATTTTGAAGAAAGCAAGAGTTCGAGATAGAAACAATTGTATAGACAAAGACACTGAAGTATATAAAATCATAAATGTTCAGGGAGTAGGTAGTAATTATGTATAATTAAACAGAGTGTGTGAGAGAGTGATGAATTTGGAAGGGATGAAATAGCAGTTGTTTTTGTAAATCATACCAAAGAGTCTGTATTTTGTAACTACTGGGAAGCCTCTAAAAGATTTTCATGGATATAGCAAACAGTACCTTTCCTATGTAGAGTGGCTTAAGTAAATCAAGGTTGTGGAAGGCTTTTATTAGGCAAGATTATTCCTTGAAATGCATGTTTTGACTTAAAACCACCATAGTGGACTATTAACAAATAAGTAAGTAAATGTTGAAATGGTTCTTATATGGACAAGTTATCTATTTTTGCAGCTTAAAAAAGCTTTTCATGATAGATTTGTTGGTCAGATTAGTAGTATTAGAGATTACTCCTAGATCTACTTGCCACGGTCATGCAGCTGGATCAGGGCTTTATTAATAAAATCACATGGTTAACCTTGACCCCAGTCTTCCCCAGAAAGCCCTTACAGAGGGTCATTTACTGAAATGCGTATGGTTCTTGTTCTCCTATTCATTATACTCCCAGATTGCCTTTTATTTGAGGAAGAATAGCATACATAGTAATGCATGTCTGTTCTTATATATAGTTTTGTTAGTATTAACCCTTTTTCAGATATTGTATTTCTTTGTCTCAAGACATTCCATTTGGATTGTTTTTAATCCTCCATATCTGTCCTGCTTTTTTTCATTCACCTTGAACATAGTAGAGTATATATTGACTGTTTTTAACTTTGTTGACTGCTGATTCTTTTATCACTGTCTTTTTTGGATCTGTTCATATAGATTAATTGTTCTCCTTGTTCTGCAATATACTTTTCTATTTCTGTAAGTATCTAGTAATTTTTTGTTTAATTGTGTAATAGACATTGGAGAATTTGTTGGTTTCTAGATTTTTTACATTCCTTCAACTAGTGTTGAATAGTATTCTGGCTCTCTCTTGAGTACTTGTACTCCATTGGCTCTTTGTGAAGCTTGTTTTAAATTTTGTTAGACCTTTTAGAAAGTAACCTTTAACCTAATTGTAATTTAGCTCTAGTAAGCCTTCTGAGGTTTCTTTCTGGTGTATTAGATTTTCTTTTCTTTTTGCTAGTGGCAACCTGAACTATTTGTTGGCCTGTGTAAACTTTATAGGGAATTGTTTTCTGATTTTCTCTGGCATTGGTAATTTTTCCTTATGTTTGAACAGATCATTACTTATCCAGAGACTCAAAGGGAACCCTATTTGTACATTTGCAGAGCTCTTTTTGTGTGTGTGTGAAACTTCTTTCTTCTTTGGTACTTTTGTCCAGCAAATTAGATATCCCTAAATTCAGATCTCATATTTCTTCAAATCATTGATTTGGGCTCTGTTTGGGTATACTCTCCTTGTGCTGTAGTCTGGAAACCATGTTTAATAGGAAGCTGGTGCAGTCTTAGGACCCTTCTCTCTAGGATAGCAATCTTGGATTGCTTTGTATCCATTGCCTGAAAACTGCTCTTTTATGTTGTTCTGCTTTCCTGGCTTTATTTATTTATTTATTTAATCTTATTTTTTCCAAAGCTTGCTTTATTTATTTATTTATTTATTTATTTATTTATTTATTTATTTATACATACAAGAACTGGGGTACAGGCCAGAGTTGTGGGGAGTGAGAGGATTCACCAGAGACAGAGTGGGGAACAGAACAGGTGGATTGACTAAAATACACTGCTAAGGGGAGCAGCAGGCGAGGCAGGAAAGGTCTGCTGCACCATGTGGGAAGCTTCCTGGCCAGGGATCGAACACGTGCTGCAGTGGCTGCGGCTACCTTCATAGGCTACGTCTTAACCCCTTGCACCTCCAGGGAGGCCCCTTTCCTGGTTTTAAATGGGTAAAATTCACTTTGACTGACTGCAGTAGTTCACAGCAGATAGTTTTAAAGGAATACTGCCTTCGTCAGCTGAGAATTGTGAAAGAGGGGAATCATATGACTCTTGCAGGTGAAACATTAAATAAGCTATAAAAATGAACTGTACTGTATGCGACATTGGCATGGTATCTTTTTACTTAGGCCCCTGTTGCTTTTGCCCATGTAGTGGCCATGTTTGCTCCTTTGGACTTAAATTTAGAAATAAGTTTGTCTTTATGTTTAATATGAATGGGATTTTTTTTTCCCTGCGTTTGTGCTGAGTGAGCCTCTCTTACTGATTTTTTTCCTATAGTAGTTATGTGTATTTGTATGTAGTAGTTATCCAGGTCATTTTTCCTGATATAAATGTTGGAGGGAAAGATAACATAAGTTGAAGTTGGGGGAAAGATGGGAACTATATGTCATTCAGGACTTTATAAGTCATTATAAGGAGCTTTGATTTCATCCTCAGTATAGCAAGTAGTCTTTCATGGCTTTTGATTTATAAAGGATGGAAATTAATACATATTTAACGCAGATTTTGTACTTTGATTATAGAGGAACAAAGGAAGATGCAGAAGATCTGTTAGAAACCTTGTTGTAGTAGTTCAAAAGATTGTAGGAAAATGGATGGTTTGAAGGTGCGTTTTAATCCTAAGCTTAATAGGACTCTAATGGATTAACTCTGATACTGAAAGAAGAATCAAGAATGGCATGTAGGCAACTGGAGAACCATGCAGCGAGTGGAGAAGACATGGCAGCATGAACATATTTTGGAAGAAATTAAGGATATGTTATTTATACTGTATGAGCAATCAAAATACAGATGTTAGGCAGTTTGACATGCAAGGTGTGGAGTGCAAAGGAGAGGTCTGAAAGGTAGGCAGACCTTTTGGGGTTGTTGTCCTGTAGAATTAAAGAAACTGATGAGATCATACATGTAGGAAGAAGTGTACAGAAAGGAGAGGACTCAATACTGACTCTTTGAGAAGTGCCAAGGTTAGTAATAAAGTTGAGGAAGAGAACCCAGTAAAAGAGAGGTCTGAGAAGGGAAACATGAGGAAGGAAGAAGGCTGGCAATATTAGTGCCAATGTGACTTCAGTGAAGCCAGGTGTAGCCAATACTACTGTGAGAACAAGTTACTTGATAGAGAGGGTCTGTTAGATTGGGCAATATGGGTTTCTTTGGTGACCTTAATAAAAGTGATTTGGGGGCTCAGGTACCGCAGGCAAGAGCCATATGGGAATCAGTGGAAAATATTAAAAGACAGAAATTGTTGTTTGTTTGACTTAGAAAAAATTTTGTCACTGGCCACTGATTAAGCTATGAGTAATTATCTGTTTTGGTTTCAGGAAAGATAACAACCCTACACTGCAAAGCAGACAACATTAGGCAACAGTGTGTAACATTTCTTCATTATGTTAAAGTTTTCATCTTCAGGTAGGATGTCAGAAGAGACTTGCTTACAACGTGAATTTCTGAATACATGTTCAACCAGACTCCAGTTGTTAATTGAATCTCATTGTTGTTTTTAGATACCTAAAAGTGCAGAATGCTGGGAATTATGTGCCTGTCCATCCTTATGAGACTTTGGAGGCTCAACTTCCCTCGCTGTTGGTTGATGAGCTTCATGGATTACTGTTGTATATTGGACACCTATCTGAACTTCCCAGTACTAATCTAGGAGCATTTGTAAATCAAAATGAGATTAAGGTTTGACTTGTTTCATTTAATTTTTAAATTAGCTTTTTTTTTCCCAAGGAATATTCAGTCAAACATATGGGTAAGTTAGTCAAGAGTATAGCTCTGGGGCCTCCCCTGGTGGTGCAGCAGTTTCGCACTGGACTGTGAAGCTTCCTGCAGCCTCTGCAGCACCAGTTCAATTCCAGGACATTGGCGAGGGGCCCACATGGTGCACAGACCTCTCCTGCTATGCCCGCTGCTCCCCTCAGCAGTGTATTTCATCAGTTTGTCTGTTCTGTTCCCTGCTCTGGCTCTGGTGAATTCTCTTACCCTCCCGCGCTTCTGACTGTACCCAGTGCTTGTATAAATAAAGTAAATAAATCTTAAAAAAAAAAAAAAAAAAGAGTAGCTCTGGATGCAACCTGAATTGAAATTCTGGCTCCTCCTTTTATTATATGCCATTGGGCTAGTAACACTTATTGCCTCAGTCTTTCCGTCTATACAATTGGTATATCTCACTGAGTTTTAGAAAGAATTGAGTAAAGTAAAATGCATAAATTGCTTATATACCCTGAGTCAATAATAGCTGTCCTCAGTTCCAACTTGTAACAGTGCAAATGTTTGAAAGTTTCAAAGCAAATTAACCTTTATTTTCAAAAACGTATATGATCTTTCTCATTGATCATAGTTTATTTTATAATAAGGTTGAAGAAAATCACCTTTTAAAAGTTACACTTTCAAAACCAGATCTTTATGTCTGTTGTAACTTTTGAGATCTTTCTGGAATATGTTTATAATTAAACTATGCCCTTTTTTTCTACCTGTGATAATTATTCCTTCTGAAGTATGGTTTTTAGAAATTTATATTGTTAGCATGGACTGAATTATTGATATAATTAACAGATTCTCCATAGGAAAATGTGATCTTAAGTGAATAACAAATTTTAACTCCCTTTAGAATTCCTTGAACTCTCAACCTCTTCTATTTGACTTCACTAGTTTAAATAACATTCACTTTTTTTTTTTAAATTTATTTATTTATTCACACAAGAGCTGGGATACAGGCCAGAGATGCAGGGGGGGGGTGGGGTGAGAGGATTCATCAGAGACAGAGCGGGGAACAGGACAGGCAGACTGACTGAACCACACTGCTGAGGGAAGCAGCTGGGGAGACAGGAGAGGTCTACCTCTCCATGTGGGTTGCTCCCTGGCCAGCTGGGGATCGAACTCGCGCTGCAGAGGCTGTGGATCACCTCATAGTATGTGGCGCTCAACCCATTGCGCCACCAGGGAGGCCCAGAATAACATTCACTTTTGAGGAACATGTATTTGTCAAAATGTAGGGTACAATTAAACATTTCTATTTTTATGTGAAAAATACAAATTTATCAAAAACAAACAAATATAAGCCAAACACTTATTATCAGAACTCAGTATATATAATAATGATATTAGAACTTTGGTCTACGGCCATACCACCCTGAACGCGCCCGATCTCGTCTGATCTCGGAAGCTAAGCAGGGTCGGGCCTGGTTAGTACTTGGATGGGAGAACTTTGATGGTGAGTGTGCTATGGCGTATGTATTTATCAAAGTATGAATGTTCCCAAAATTTACATAGTATTGTAAACCAACAGTGAATCAATAAGAATTGTTTAAAAATAATTAAGAAATATAGTTCCAACTAAATTCACAGATTAATATGGTTAACTCATAAAAACAAATAAGTGATTATTTTTAATAATCATTTAATAAAGATTCATAGATAGATTGTGGAGAGAGGGATATTTTTACTTATTTCTAGTCTCTATAAATTAGAATGATGTATATTTTCTGGATATCTAGCAAGTGCTTAAGAAAAGAAAAATTAATTACTTATCTAGCAGCAGAAATAAGAATAGGCCAAGGTCCTGAAATAAGGTTTTGCCTTTCCTAGGCTTTTTCATAGGAAGATCTGAAAAGATAGCTTACTTGACAATCAGAAAATGGAATTTTTAAAATAGGGTGATGTAGGCTTTAACATATACACAAAAAAATCATACACTAAAATACTGTTTCATTTCTGAAACAACAGCAAAAAATCTTATAAAGTTTTTTTCAAGACTCTGTTTTTATGTCCTACCAATGTTAGATACAAAAAATAACATGATTGCCATTTCCTGTCTAGCATCTGTTTTACTATTTTTTAGGAACTTTTAAAATTAGAGATAATATTTATTGGGTATCAGAAATACTTCATCCACTTATCTTTTCCTAAATTTTACTGACTTGCTAAGTAGATTAAGTATTTTAGTTATATGTGTAATTTTTTTCTATTGTATCATCTCTATGCTATTGTTAAAAATGTACTCTTTTTTAATACATTTATCTTTTAAATTCATATCTTTAAAAAAATATGCCATGCAGTGAGAAATCAAACCACAGTTTCTTGCAAGTGAACGACCCCTATATTCCCCGCTGATTTATGATACCACATTTATCCATTTTTCTCTTTCTTGTCTTGCTGTTTATTTATTATCTATTTCTGAACCAACACTGTTTATTAGTGTAGCATTTTGTTTTGTTTGCATACAGGATAAGGCAGGTCCCCTCTCTATTATTCTTCCTAGTTGTCTTAATAGAACATGTGTGTTGTATTTATTTTTATAGTAATACTAAATGTTAACTAGAAGAAGGTTATTGATAACCTAGTATATCATAATAGTTAAGAGCTCTGGCTTTTGAATCAGACAGTGGGGTTGAATTCTGTGTATGCATCGGGAAGCAAATATCTGCATCATTTTTAATTTCAGTTTCATAGTAAGCATGGTAGTCTAAAGTTTTCTTGCTAAAATTATTTTATAGGCGTTCCTGGGTACATGGTACATTTAAAAATATTTCCTGTTAAAGTCTAAAATAAAGTGTTAAAAATTAATGCTTTAAAAAATTCTTTTACTTTCTTGTAGCTGTAGTAGTATGAGATATTAGTTGAAAGGGACCTTTACTATTCTGTAGAAATCTCTTGACAGTTCCAGAATGGGTCTTTCTTAAACCATCATATGACACTATATCCTGCTCTCAAAGATCTCCAGTGAAATCCTCTGATGAACAAGACAAAGGATTTCCCTGAGCTTTTGAATAGTGGTAGGTTAATTGGTTCTTTATCCTGTGAGTATGGAAGATTGTTGAGACATGCTACAAAATGTCTAGTAAAGTATTGTGAATTCTCAGTTACACTTAATAATGTCATTTACAGCTTTTCCCACCATCATGGCATTTATTACATCTGCATTTAGATATCCATTGGCTGGTGCTAGAAATTCTTCACATGCTGGGTGAAAAATTGAGTAAGTTTTTGGATTTCTGATTTATGTTTTTTTTTTTTTTTTAATTTAAACTTACTGTTTTTCAAATTGCACTTTAATAAGCGCCTTTTGTGTTTTAAAAGTCAAATAGTAACCAAATTAAAAAATGAAAGTCTTCCTCTTTTTTCCAAAGACAACTACTAGGAACAGCTTGTTTATCTTCTCGTGTGTGTGTGCGTGCGTGTGCGTGTGCGTGTGCATGTGTGTGTGTGTACTCCTAGGCAGGATTTCTGGTTTTGCTTCTAACCACAAATAGCATCATATTGTTCTATATAATGTCTCATATAACAGTTTTTTAGAGATGTATAAATATTGGTAAATACAGTTCTGTCATTGTACACTGAGTTTTCCCAGAGTATATACACTGATCATATACTCTTGACAGTGGTGTATGTTACTTGTTTTTCTTCTTTACCAACTATCATAAGAAAAGATAATGAATCTCTGTTTTACTTTGCAACTTCCTGATTACCAGTAAAGTTGAACATCTTTATATAATTGTATTATCTATATTTCCTTATTAATTACCTACTCATCCGTTACTTTTTCCTATTTTAAAATTAATTAGTTGATATATATTATGGATAGTAATTTATTTCATGTGTTGCCTGTTTCTTGGTCTTGCTTTCTGGTATGTTTAGGTTCCATTATGAAATTTAGCAATATTCTGTACATGTTATTTAAGGGTAAGTTGTTAATTATTTTGGTTGTGAAGGTATCTGTTACCTCAGTTCTTGCTTTTCAGTACTACTAAATACCTGTGTGTACACTTTGTATACACAGATATAAAAAAATGAACATAAATATATAATTTCCTCTCATGTGGACTCTATATTCCATATAATATTTCCTTAGAGCAGTGCTCAGTGGGCTTATTCTGATATAGACACACATTTTGGTATCTGTTACCTTGATTTGTTCTATTTTATGTCATAAAACAATTGCATGTCATCAACTTTATTAGAATTTATTTAAGGATAATATTTTGAAGGCTTTATTGACTAGAAATATGAGGGAAGATTTTCTAGTGTTTCTCTTTTATTTATTTTTATTTTATTTAAGTCATGCTGCATTGTAACTTTTCAATTTAGCCATGTTAAGAAAGGAGAAATATACTAAATAGTATGTGGAAGGATTGAAAACTGTATTAAACTAATGTTTAACAATACTCACATAAGAAAGAAATTGTCCTCAAACTTAACTTTTGTTTGCCAAATAAACAGGTTTTAACTGTATGTGTTACTTTAAAATAGCAACTTAAAATGTTAAAGCTGTATAATCATTGTCCTCCTTTGAATAAGTAAAATCTACTTTATTTTGAATAGAATTTATTCTTATTTTAGAACAAGTTGTTTATGGTCATCAGTTTATGAATCTGGCGGGTGACAATTTAACCAATGTCAGTCTATTTGAAGAACATTGTGAAAATCTCCTTTATGATTTAATAAGCCTGTCACTCAACAGGTATGACAAGGTAATGCTTTAAGACTTTATTTGTAGTTTTGATACTTAGTAGAAGTAGTCATGTTTTAATGTGTGTGGTTTTAATCTATAGGAATTTAATTTTAATGAATATCATACAATGTTTACATTTTTGTGTCTGGCTTCATTTGCTCAAATGTTTTTAAGAGTCACGCTTGTTGTAACATACCAATAAGTTCATTCTTTTTTATCATTGGATATTATTCCATTATATAGATATACCACAATTTGTTGATTCATTCACTTGTTGATTAGCATTTGGATTATTTCTAGGTTGTGGCTGTAAAAACAAAGCTGCTATGAAAATTTATGACCAAAATTAATTAAAAATGGTTTGCTTGTTTATTCTCTTAATTATCTGTGAATTGAATGAAAGAAAAATTTTACTTAAAAATTTAAAAGGAGGCTGGGGGACTCCCTGGTGGCGCAAGGGGTTAAGCACCACGCTATGAAGCAATCTGCAGCCTCTGCAACACAAGTTCGATCCCTGCCCGGCCAGGGAGCAACCCACATGGCGAAGCAGACCTCTCCTGTCTCGCCTCAGCAGTATATTTAAGTCATTCTGCCTGTTCTGCTGCTCCCCACTCAGTCTCTGGTGAATCCTCTCACCTCCCCCCACCCCATCTCTGGCCTATAGATGATAAAGGCTAATTCTTAAAAAAAAAAAAAAAAAAAGCCTAAATACTAATTCCAGCCTGCTTTTATTTATTTATTTATTTATTAAGATTTATTTATGCATACAAGAACTTGGGTACAGGCCAGAGGTGTGGGGGTGAGAGGATTCACCAGAGGCTGAGTGGGGAGAAAAATAGGCAGATTGACTGTAATACACTACTGAGGGGAGCAGTGGGCAAGTCAGGAGAGGTCTGCTGTGCCACGTGGGTAGCTCCTTGGCCAGGGATCGAACTTGTGGTGCAGCAGCTGCGGTCAGCTTCATAGGTTGTGTCTTAACCCCTTGCGCCACCAGGGAGGCCCCACATTGCCTGTTTTTGTAAATAAAATTTTACTGGAACACAGCCACATCTTTTTTCCTCTCTTGCTTATGGGTGGTGTTATACACATGAGAGTTGAATAAATAGTTGTAACAAATATATTGCTAATAAGGCCTCAAATGTTTTCTATGTTGCCCTCTATGGGAAATGTTTCTTGGTTATTTGACTAGTTGACTAAGCAGAGGTATTTTTTAGATCAAAAATAATATTCATTCTGTACTTCTGATTTTAAAATGGGAATTTATTTTAAAGATTGATAAAAATCAAACTTTTTTTAGAAACAATTTCATGTAGTTGAGTATAAATTTAAAGTCATTAAATCATTTAAAAAAAAAACATAAGGGGAGATAGGTGGCAAATAAAATTCCTCTCTAACATATTTGGTTCTTTTCTATAGGTTAGGCCGTCTGAAGCATTAATGAGTCACCACTGCCCATGTCCATGTGTTAAAGAATTATGGATTCTCCTCATTCATCTTCTCGACAACAGAAGTAAATGGTCTCTCTCAGAAGTAAGTTGTAAAGTTGATGTTAGTTATTTGTGCTTACTCTCATGTTGAATTTATTCAGTTGTTTTGGACAAGAAAAATTCTCAGAAATTTCCCTCTCTTTAAAGATAACCTTCAATAGAGTATTAACTGAGTTCCAAGTATGCATTATTTTTTTAATCCTAAATAATATGAAACGGCTAAAAGCAAAACAAGGTTCACTCTTCTTTTATTTAAGTTCATTATTTCTTCTATCAAGAATCTTGGAAGCTAAAATATTTGATAGTCTGATAATCTAGGAAATAGTTAGGAACTATAGCAGATTGCAGTTTGGGAAACTAAAAGAGAGGTTTCTATTTATTTTACGGTACCTTATTTTCAAGGAGGGTGAAGGAAAAACACAAAGAGCAATATGGGAAATTTTATTTCACTTAATTTTGAGCCAAGTCTTCAGAATGGGGCTTTATTTTATTTCAAGTGTTATGGATTATTAGAAAAAGATTTGGGATTTGGTTGCTGCCTTCTAATTTTAATAATGTACAAAGTACAAATAAGCCCAAGCAAGCTTATTAAGTATAAATTTAATGTATTTTTATTGTTTTGGGTTTTTTTTTTTACTTTTTGGTTTGCCAGTAGTACTCCACTTTTTACAATGAAATTTATTTTCTTTTCCCAAAATTAATTTATTTATGCATACAAGAGCTGGGGTACAGGCCAGAGATATGGGGGGTGGGGTGAGAGTACCCACCAGAGAGAGAGAGGGGAACAGAACAGGCAGACTGACTGAAATACATTGCTGAGGGGAGCAGCGGGCAAGACAGGAGAGGTCTGCTTCGCCATGTGGGTTGCTCCCTGGCCGGCCCGAGATTGAACTCGTGCTGTAGAGGCTGTGAACTGCTTCCTAATGCAGTGCTTAACCCCTTGCGCCACCAGGGAGGCCCTACAATGAAATTTAATTGGTAGAGAGACTCACCAAATTTTCCCCTCTGTTTGTCATGGTGTTTTATTACACTGACACAGCAAACACAGCAACTTTTCCATTTTCTGAAAAGGCCCATATTTAAGACATTTTATGTTTTTAAAGAATTTTTCTTGTTTTATAAATTTTCTGGCTTGAAGGTGTAAATCACATACAGCTAATGAGGGCATGTTCATACTTGTTGCCATTAGTCTTTTTCTAGATTTTAAGCAGAAAAATAGGTATAATTTAAAATATTATACTGTAGAAATTTGCATAGTAGTATGTGTTATTTAACCAATTGCTTTGTATGATCTTCATATTACGTGACTTATTTTAAAATAATGAAAATTTGAGGTGATATTATTTTTTAATGCAACTAAAATAAGTTATGTTATTCACAGATTTTGAAGGCTGTTTCAATTTGAAAGTCAAATTAGAAGTTTCCATTCCTGTCAGTTGGCAGTTTTAATTTTCTCCTAAAAGTTTAATCTAATCTAACCATGCCAGGTATCATATAATGAATGTCTATAAGCTTGTAGAAAGTAAGTACTGAGACCAAATACTAAATGTAGATGGGAACTGAATTGAGCTGAACATTGAAGCTGCCATATAACTTTAGAGACAGTAGCTGAATTGTATAAATTTGACCATTAACTTTTATACATTTTACAGACACACATACGCACACATGCATGCACACACATACAGCAATAATAGATAAAGCTCAAAGTAAGCTCAAGTTGCATAGACTAGGTACTATAAAAATTTAAGATAGAAGAACTATAAAGAGCTGCAAATGTTAGATTCTTGTTAGATTTGTCTTTTACAGTGTTATATATGAATTAGCAATTTTAAATTTATAATGTGTTCTAGGACAGAGCAAATAAATATATTGTGGGTAATTAGAACCAACTTTGTCACCATGGAAAATTGAGTTACAGCTACCAAAAAAGGGAAATCTAGGGTCTTGAATTGGAATGTGGTATATCAGTATGAAATAATGGTTTCTGATAATTAGAACTAGATGTAGATGTATGTATACATTTCCTGCTTTATCCACTAGGTGGGTCTAGAAACGATATTTGAGTTACAGTGAGCAAACTGCAAATATGAATAGGTTTTTGAAATAACTGTGTATAAATGGAGTCTATGGAAGAAAACAAAACAATGGGATATAACTGACATTCAAAATCATATACAAGAAAACATTCCAGAAGTAAAAAAAAAAAATCTGAATCTATGTACTGAAAGGGGTTAATGGATAACTGGATAGATTAATCTCAAATAAGAAAAAAGATACCAAAGTTGGCCACTTTTTTGAAATGATTACAAAATAGAGTCAATACTAGAAATAAAGGAACATGACTTCAGATTGTACTAAAAATAGTTCAGATATTTTTCACAACCTTATTCCTATTAACTTGAATATTTGTATTAAGTGAACAAAAATGTAGGGAAAATCTTAACTAAAACTCTTCAATTATTCAACAATAATAAACTAAGTAAATGGTTTAAAATATAGTCATTGGAATATTGGAATACTCTGATGAACTATGGCTATACTCATTAGTGTGGGAGAATCTAAAAACCTAATGTTGAGCAAAAGAAGCAAGTTACCAAAGGATTCAAACAAGCCATATAAGAAACATGGTTTTTTAAAAAGCCACACAAAAAAGGAAGTCAAATAATATATGATTTAGAATTACATACCTATGTTGCAAAATTTGTAAAAGCAAGGGAAAAATTCATTGTGAAAATCAGGATAATGGCTACCCTGATGTGGGACGATGATGTGATTGTGGAAACATATAGGGTCTTCATAAAGTATTAGTCATTTTCTAATTTTTAACCTAACAATTTTTATTATCCCTTAAGTTTTGTATATGTGTTTTGTATTCTCTTTTTAATATATATTTAATTTTAAAAGTGGAGGAAAAGCCCAAATCAAAGGTTATTGGATCAGTGTCTTAATTGAATTGAATTATATTACTTCTGTTTCTATAGTCATTTTGGAACTGGTTGAATAAACTACTTAAAACACTCTTTGAAAAGTCAAGTGACCGAAGAAGCCCCGCTGTGCCTGTAATCCAGCCTAGAGATCCATTAGGTTTTAGTTGGTGGATTATTACTCACGCAGCTTCATTTTACCAGTTTGATCGCCATGGAGAACCAGATAATATGGTAAGATTTTATTTTATTTACGCTTCTTATATTATCAATAAATAATATTTTTTAAAAGACAAATTAGAACGAAAGTGAACAGAAAAAATCAGGTCATAATCCTACAGCTATAAATTCAGCTTCTGAAGCTAGAGGATATAGGCCTTTCTGTAAATATCTCAAAAAATGATTTATCTTTTTGTTTGTTTAAGGAAAAGCAACTCAGGAGACTGGGGATCCAAGCCTGACTTTGCTGCTTAATAGTTGTGTGACCTTCAGTGTATCACTTAAACCTTTCTGGGCCTCTTGTTTCTTTACCCAAAAATCATAGAATTGGATTGTTGAGAAATTTTCTTCTAGTTTTAAAATCTGTAAGATTGCCAAAGGGAAAGCATGTCTCTAGAAATGAATTAATAGTTTTTGTCAATAATTTGATAAAATTAGAGGGTCCTCACAAAGATTTTTTCTTAAATCTGTTAAACAACAATGAAGTTTATTTCAAGTAGAAAGCGATTCTAACTAGTATATAATTTCTAGTTAAAAACATTTTTTACAGTGTTATTTAAAAAGCTTTATGAGATAGGCCTCCTCGGTGGCGCAGCAGGTTGAGCACAGTGCTGTGAAGCTGTCTGTCAGCCTCAGCAGCACAGGTTCGATTCCTGGCTGGCCAGGGAGATGCCCACATGGTATGGCAGGTCTCTCCTGTCTTGCCCGCTGCTCCCCTCAGCAGTGCCTTTGGTCTGTCTGCCTGTTCTGCTCCCCACTCTGTCTCTGATTAATCCTCTCACCCTCTTGCGCCTCTGACCTGTGCCCCAGCTCAAAAAAAAAAAAAAAATAGCTTTATGAATAAATTTAGCTGGTAGATTTATTTAGTTGAAACCTATTTGTATGTAATTTCTTTCACATTTAGAAATGAATTGTAGAATATTGTTTTAACAGGCCATCCCTTCCACAAAATAAGCATGAGAATGCTTCCCTGATGGCGCAGGGATTAAGTCACAGCACTGTCAAGCTATTGGCAGCCACTGCAGCATGGTTCGATCCCCAGCCAGGGAGCTAACAGCCCACATGGTACAGCAGACCTCTTCTGCTTTGCCCCACTACTCCCCTCTGCAGTGGATTTCAGTAGATCTGCCTGTTCTCTCCCCATTCTGTCTCTGGTGAATCTTCTCACCCCCCTCTTCCACCCCACACCTCTGGCCTGCCCCCAGTTCTTGTATGCATAAATAAATAAATCTTAAAAAAAAAAAAAAGCATCAGAATCTTGAAGTCAGTGTCTCTCTTTTTAAAAATCATCTTGGAATTGGTTCCCAAACCTGGTTGATTAGACCAGATTTCTAGATCTCAACTCTGAAATCCCGATTTAGTAATCTGATTTAGAGTTTGAGAATCCTTATTTTTAAAAAGTTCCTTGCTTGTCATCCTTTACCAGGTATGGGAACTATTCCTTTATGAAACTTATTCCATGATGAATTTGACAGATTCTCCTCTCTTTGGAATATCGGACACAGCTCAAAAATCATCCATGGACTCTGAAGGTCAGTTAGTATTGACGTAGTGTCATAGAAATGAAAAGGGCCTCAAGATATGCTCTAAAGATCCTTATAACAGTAAAAGGCCCTTTAGGAGACTCCAAGTTAGAGTAAAATTATAAGTCAGAAAGCGCTCTGAGAACTTCACCCACAGCTCAGTATCAATCAATCAATCAATCATACTACGAACTTATTGAAAGAGATCAATAGAATGAGTTTCTCAGAGAGAAGGATCATACATCCTTTGTTTCTGTATGTGAGTCTTTACCATGCTGATACGTAATAAATACTCAAAAATGTTAACAATTGTCATTATTACTCTAGTAACCCTTTCATACAATATTTCTGTAGAGTTAATATGTTAATGTTTTACTTGCTTTAATTAGAATGCTAATACATCATTGAAAGAACACAAAAAAGGTACCTATAATTCTAAGATCTTCATTTCCCTTCCAACCTAATTCCTCTCTGTGTATATTTCTACTTCTAATCAATGGAAATTAATAGATAATTGGTTAAGCAGTTTTGAGTTTCTGTTAAGTGGCTATCATAATAATGGGTACAGATGATAAGTTGCATAAGAAACAGATTGCACTGTTTCTTGCTGTAAGAAACATGTTTTCAGGTCATTAATACTTGCTGGAACTGTATTAACAATTATTTGAATGGACAGGATGTTTTAATAGTGTTTGATATTGACCACTGGATATTCCCAATGTGGCAGGTTATCTACTCACATTAATATATAAATATCGTTATAATTACTATTGCAGTTTCAGTTGTACTGATTACTCTTCTATTGCAAGATCAGTCTTCAATTTCATACAGAGAACTTCAAAGGAGATTATTGATTTTATCAACTCAAAAATGAAGATAGTAAATGAATTGTTGGTATTTAAAATAGTTTAATATATGTTTTTAAATATTTGTCAGCAGTTCTTATGTGATTTTCTTTTGCCACAATACATACATCTTTAAAAATCATGAGTTCTGTAGATTATGTAGTTTTAAAAGGAAAGAGCCATGATATTTGAAAAAAGAACCTTCATCTGATAAAAATAATAAAGATACGTAATGTATATGTGTATATTAAAATGGACTTAGCCTTATTCACAAATCTTCAAAGAGTTTCATCAAATATTTCTGGACTTCTTAATGTTTTTAAAAAAAACTCTTCATTTAGTAATAATTTTCATTAGGGGTAATACCTTCAGCATATTGCATTTGCAAAGTGTTTAATATCTTACAGTAACTTCATTTTTTTATCTCAGTGAAATGTTATGAAGTCTATGAGAGTAATCTTATATCCATTTTACAGGTAAAGAAACTAAGATACACAGTTGTTATGTGTCACCCTGTTTTTATTACTTAGATAAAATCGAAATCAGGCTTCTCCTAAGGATTGCCTTTAATGCCTAGGTCTTTGGTAGGGTAACCATGAGTACTACTTTGCTAGGGACAGTGCTAGTTTATGTTCATTATCCTGTTATCCTATCTGGTCAATTTTCCCATCTGTTCACAAAAGTATCTCAATTTGGTTTGTAAATCATATAGTTATTTTAATCGGTGAACATTAAGGCATATTAACTCATCCTTTCAGAGTGCTTATATACGATGTTAATTTGGGCCTGAGATGTATTTAGATCGGAATTTTGAAAATTACCTGAATTCATTTTTTCTGCCTTTGATGTATCAGAACAGCCAGCTACCATAGAGAAAATGGTTATGCGTTAAGCGTACTTTATTCCATTAAAGAGTAATCTGGTGTGAGAGAATGATACGAAATAATAATGGTTAGTCATATGTTCAGGAGCAGGGAAATACTTCCCATCTTGTGATAACCACAGAGATGTATCAGTTTTTAAATGTGAACTGCATTGCCCTGAAGGTTAATGTGAAATCTTTACATTTTAAATAGGTTTCAGATATGGTTAATTTTTTTAAGTTTCTGCATATCGGGCTTTTGCTATATGTGGATTTAAATGACAAAACTCGCCGATTTCTTAATATATAGACCTGTAAGGGTAATTTGATGCCTAATTTCTCATATTCAAGACTTTAGATTTTCATATATTTCTGTATAATGCTTATCTCAGAGCCAAGATGAGAGTATGTTGTCTTCTCACAATCCCAGTCATCTATTTTAAAAGCAAATATAGTTTAAAGAGGAAAATTACTTTTGGGCATTTAACAGTACTTTTCCTGTCCAGAACATATTGTAATCAGTCAGGCTACCTGATGCTCATCTTTGAAACGTCTGAATGGTGAATGGATAAAAGGTATAAAATGTAACCTTAAAATGAGAGTTGTACCAGATTATCTAGTCTGCTGGAAGTGGAGTTTGAAGGATCTATTTTATATTGCTCTTGAAGATAACACCTGTGCTGATATTTAAGTAGGTGTCTTAGTTTTCATGGTGGGATAAGAAATATGAAAGATAGCCCCAAATTGATGACTTCCTACCTCCCTTCTATCAGTGGAAATAAGTTATGCATAACTGAATATATAGAAAAAAATGCTATAGATGCTCAAAGCTCAGTTTGAAGAAAAATTTATATTCCTTTGATGCTCTTATTCAAACTTGATTTGGGAAAGATACAGTTGTATTTCCTCTGAATTATGGTTATTTTTGCTTTGGCTGATAGCCACAGTACTTACCCATAGGATTGAAATTCTTTAAACAAGAATTTAGTTCAAATGCCTTGCTACAATAAAACAATTGAAATATTCTCATTAACACTATCAAATTATAAAGTTAAATATATCAACCCTGTCATGTTCCTGCTTATTTGGTAAGAACAGTAGAAATTCTTAGTGGCACTAGAAATGTCACTAGTAGTAACATTTTCTTAGTAAAGAATCATATAAATTATTGGAAGCTTATTAAGAAAGAGAAACACAGTTACTGATAGTTTTGAATTGGAGCAGTTGTAAATTTTTTCTTAACCAAGTTTGTCAACTAACTCTTTGTTAAAATAAATAGTAGGCAATAAAAAAATTGAAATGATGTCTGATGTTAGAGAAAATATTTATACTCCACATTTAACTTGCTATACCATAATTTTAAATATATGCATAATCAAGAGCAGTAATTTTGATGCAACAATATTTTCTCCTTTCCTAGAGACACATGGAGTCAAATTGGAACTTTGTAGAAGAACTGTTGAAAAAGTCTGTCAATGTTCAGGTATACATTTAAAATGAGACAATTTGTGAGCTTTGCTAAATTTTTATCTTACAGATTTTATTTATTACAATGAAGTAACAAACTTAGGTTACTTATTAAAAATCTTGAGCTATCATCATTCTTTGTTAATGAAGGGTCAGTGTTCTTATTAATGACTATCCTTAGAAGATTTTTATTTCTAACACTGACTTGTCAGTTAAAGGACAAAGATCATTATCCTAGTTGTTGACTTTGACAAATATATTCCAAATAAGTAGTAGATGCTTTGGAATTATAAGCCATTCCTTGACTAGAGGATATCAAGTTTAGGAGACACAATGAGGGAGATAGTCAGTGGCATTGGAAATTCAGCTGTATCCTCGTCACAGCAGGAAGGTGACTTGCCTTGCTGAGCAATTTGTCTTACAGGCTTGAATCATATGCTAACTGATAAGGTCCTGGTTTCTGAGCACTCATTTCATACCTTATCATTTTTCTTTCTGCAGAGCTGTTAATGTAGTGCTTCATGGCCCAGAGGTCAGATTTGACCTCCTTTTAAAGCACTTTTAGATGTGCTGTTCATCACATCTTTAAACATGTATTGTAGTTCTGCAAAGTTTTGTGATAAGTTATTTATGTTGGCATTTAAGGGAAGAGTTTAAAAGGGTATTTTTTTAATTTAAGAAATAGACTGCTTTTCTGTTAAAAATGATTTTTAACTTAAAGAAGAATTTAAAAATATGTTTGTATGAGATTGATATATATACACACAATATATGCATATATACACACATTTTGTAGCCATATCTTTGAAAGACTCTTTAAATTATAACATGAATCTCCTAATAATGAGCTAAGTTAGAATGCCAAAGAGCTCTGCATATATAAGTTGTATTAGAAATAAAAGTGCTGTTATATTTTAATTGTTTCAGAATCAAAAGAACTACTATCCCAACCACTATAAAAGTTTTGTTTTGTTTTTTTCCCCCTATATCATTTTGGTTGGCCTCTCATTCTTTTGGGGGGCATATTGATTTAGCAGCTCAGAAGTTTCTTGCATTTATTTTTCAATTTCAAGAATAAGGTTCTTGTTAATAAAAAAGCAGCTGTCTTCCCCATCTGTGACTTTGCAGGTGCCTCTCTTTGTCTTTCTGCTCTTCCTAATAAACTAATCCTTTTAAAATGTGGAGTAGGGGCGGGTAGAGAATAAGATCCTGGTTTCATTTCATACCTAAACATTTTTCTTTCTGCAGAATTGTTAATACAGTGCTTCACGCCTCTGAGATAAAATGTTTACATCATCTATGAAGGCAATTAGCTAGTAATACTTTAAACTTCCTTTCATTTCTAACAGTATATGAATTTATGCTGTTATTCAGCTAGAGTTTAAATTATAGAGTATTCTTAAGAGTTTCCAAGTTTTGTAGGGAGATACACACATACACACACACACACACACAGAATCTCAAAAATGTCAGGGACAAACAGGAAAAAGAATTGTCATCTTTTCTATCTCATAGAAGACTTTGCTTTTTGACTAAGAGATTTAAAGGCCCTTTTTAAAAAAAAAAATTACGCATACAAGAGCTGGGTTAAAGGCCAGAGGTGCGGGGGGATGAGAGGATTCACCAGAGACAGAGTGGGGAACAGAACAGGCAGATTGACCAAAGTATACTGCTGAGGGGAGCAGAGGGTGAGTCAGGAGAGGTCTGCTGTGCCATGTGGTTGCTCCCTGGCCGGCCAGGGAATTGAATTTGTGCTGCAGAGGCTGTGGACAGCTTCATAGGTTGCGCCTTAACCCCTTGTGCCACCAGGGAGGCCCTTGAAGGCCTTTATAAACCACCTTTAGTTGTTTGAAAATTAATATTTTCTGTTGATTTATACTTAAAATCCATATACTTTTGATTTTAAATGAAGGACACTCATTTGCTGAAAAAAACTTGTCTTAGAATATCTTCCACATAATGTCTAAAAACTTATTCTAACATTGCATAGTATGCTTTTTCAATGTAACTAATAGTATAATGGGGTTGGAGAAAGCTATCCTAGTTTGTCTGGCTTGGGTTTTCCCAAGATTTTCAGTGCTAAAACGAAGTCCTGAGCCATCTGGGATGAGTCATTCACCCTAAAAGTAGGGATAACACAGCTAAGCTCTGAAACTTCCTCTGCGGATTTAGGTCGAATATAAATCAAAATATTATCTTTCTGGTGAGAAGAGAGGTCATTATAATATGTATAAAGAAGTAGTCCAGTCTCACTAGTAATCTTTCAATTTTATCATACCTTGATTGTATCAAATTAGATTGTATAAGTAGTATGGGGCTACTTGCTGGAGTTTTTGAAGCCAATTTTGTTGGTACAGTAGGTGGTCATAAAAAATAAATAATACGTTTGAATAGAGCTATCAGTTTTATTATATCTGTTTTCTCCCATTGGGGTAAATTAAAATCTGACCATGCTCATGTGCTTTGACTTCATCTCCCACAGTGAAAGAGTCCATTTACAATATTTTAAAAAAACATACGTTTCACATACAGAGCAGTCTTCAAATAGAATTGGTAGGTACTTCACTGTAGTTTTTTTTTTTAGAAGTTGATTTTTATTTTTATTTATTTTTTTTAATATTTATTTATTCATGCATAAAAGAACCGTGGTACAGGACAGACTCAGGGGGTACAGGACAGAGCGGGGAACAGAATAGGTACACTGACTGAAATACACTGCTGAGGGGAGCAGTAGGTGAGACAGGAGAGGTCTTTTGCGCCATGTGGGATTCTCACCGGGTAGCAGGGATCAAACAAACCAGTGCAGCAGAGGCTGTGGACAGCTTCGCAGCGCTGACTTCAACAGCCTACGTCACCAGGGGAGGCCCACTTTTTCTGTTCAGAAAGGATCTTCCAGAGGCAGACATCAAACTTTTTAGTAAAAAGAACATAGCTTGGTTACTTCTATATAGATAGGTACAATTAAATAATTACTTGCTTTAAAAATGTTTCTAGAAGTTATCCTGTTTATCAGTAGTATTTGTTAGTATTATCAGTAAACATTTTTTCTGCCTATTTTTATATGAAAAAGGGAGAGTTTTTGTTTAATATGCCCTACTTTAGGAAGCCTAATGGTTTTCTGAGATCACAGAAACAGTTTTCTAGTAAAATTTGTAGAAGCTTATACTCTACAAAGAAATCCTAAGTAAGCTTAATGTTTTTTAATATTTTTTTTTTTGTGTTCGTCAAAGAATTTGGAGAGTCTAAGGCTAAAAACAACTCATAATGTAATGAGATATGAGTAACACTGGACAATACCTTCTGTTATTAATTCAAAATCATTGTGTTTGTGGATAGGAGGACCTTTACTGGGATATTGAAGTCCATCCAGCTCTATACAATCCTAACAATAAAACCAATCTTCCAAACTAATAGTTACTATTTAGCTTGCAAATTAATTTTATTCTTCTGATGGTTTCTGATAGGTAAATTAGTTATATATAACTAAATTATTAACAGTTGTTTAAATGTTGAATTACTATTTCTAAAGAATAAGTTAAAATAGTAAATCTTTTCATTTTTAGTTCAGAAAAATCATTCGAAGTATCGCCAAATGTAATATGCCAAAATTTGACCTTTCAAAAATAAAGATAGGGCCTCCCCGGTGGCGCAGCGGTTGAGCGCTGGGTTGTGAAGCTGCCCACAGCCTTTACAATGCTGGTTCGATCCCCGGCAGCTCCCTGGCCACTGGAGGAGGGTCCTACATGGCGTGCAGACCTCTCCTGCTGCTCCCGCTGCTCCCCTCAGCAGTGTACTTAGTCAGTCTGCCTTTTCTGTTCCCCGCTCTGGCTCTGGTGAATTCTCTCACCCTCCCCCACTTCTGACTGTACCCAGTGCTTATATAAATAAATAAATAAATAAATCTTTAAAAAAAGTTCTAAAGCATAAATCAGAAGTCAACAGTGTGGAATATTCTAGGGTATCTTCCGTCATTAAATAGTTAATATACACTTACACAGCTGAGAGGAGATACCTAGAGAGCTTTTAAGGTCTTGTGAAAAATGCATGGACTCTGAGATCGAGCCAGGCAAATTTAAGATTGTGTAGAAGCCCATGGGCCTTTTCTTGTTTATTAAAAAATCTTTAATCAGAGAGCATGGATTTAGATGTCATTAATCAAACCTTTTAGTTTAGGGAGAATCTGACCTTAACACTCACAACATTGAAATATATTGGCTTAAGGTATGATGCTATGAACCTATTGCATTCATTATTTGATATTCTAAAGAATCAGTGTTCAATCTACAAAGGTACCTTTCTCCTTTAGAGAAAAATGAGTGATCGCTATTAGTGGGCAAGCTCTGTATTAGCACTTAATATACATTCTTTCCCTTCATGTTTATGACAATCTTGTGAAGATTCCATTTTACTCCTTAAGCAACTGGGACCCAGGGAGGTTAAGAAACTTGTCTTGGTTCATATTCATTTATACAGCTAGCTTGAATTTAATCTTCTTATATTTTGATTCACTGTATACTCCCTCAAAACATTTTGCTTTGTAGGATTCTTAATGAAACTATTTTCCCATTATTTCTGTTTCTAATTTTGAAGAATTATTCTCTGCTGCTGTGTGTTCAATTATTAATCTGTTTAGGTTTCTAGTTCTGTTTTGGTTATGCCTGTGGAAAACATCTCAGTTTTCTGTACCGGCTTTTTTGTTTTTTGTCTCTCCAAAAAATGTATGATAGGAAAATATAAGGCAGGAGGAAATGAATGTTTTCATGTATTCTTAAATATTCCTCCTACCATATTTCATCTGTATTTTTTTTATTATATTATGAGTTTGAGCTAAGGTATCTATTGCCTCCCCTGCTAACTATTGTGTGTCCTTATCTCTTTGGGTACCTGGGTACCTTGAAGATGGACAAATCCTATCTGGAACTGAACTAGTGTGCACATGCACCTTTTTTAAAAGGGAATTGTGAAGAAAAAGTTAAGGCATAATGGTTTAAAACAAAGCAATGTTTGAATATAGAGCATGAAATATATTTTATAAAATGCTATACTTTATAGCCAGTTAGTCAGAAGTATAGTAACAACTTGAACTTTCATTTGATATCTGAAGTCCATGGAGGGCATTGTTGGTTCCTCCCATCTATAGTCAGTGGTCAAAAGTATAGGTAACACTTTGAACTTGGTCTGAAGCGTATGAGGAGGGGAGAAATTCTCTAGTAGGACTAAACCCTTAACCCATGGAATGGGATCCTATCTCTTGATAGATAGTGTCAGAATTGAGTTGAATTGTAGGACACCAAGCTGGTGAATAGGACTATGCAAATCCTTTCTCCACATTAAAAGTTGATCTTAGGACAACATTTAGTCCTTTTCTCCCATTCTCTTCAAAAAAGTATAGATTCTATTAGTGTCTTTCTTAATCATTGCTTTATGTCTAGTACTTTAGAATAGTGTCTGGTATACCATAAGCTGTAAATAAGTAATTGTTGAATGATTGGAATTCAGTGATGTGTCACTTTTTAGCAGGAATGTGTTGTTATTTCAGCCTGTGGAATTAAAGAACATACTTTTTTCCTACTTCCTTCTGCTATTTACTAAAAGGTTAGCATCTATATATACACACATATATGTCTATAAACACTATATACATATAGACATATATACACTATACTAAGTTGTTTTTTAAAACAACTGTTTTAATTCCCCGTAAGAAATTTAACCAAGTACTTATGTTAATATATGACTAAGCTCTCTTTATTTTTGTACATCTTAATAGGTGAATTTTATCACTTTTTTTTGCTTTGGGTTTATTTTCCATTCTCTGAGTTTCCTATGCCATTGACTTATGAAACAACTATTGTAATTTTTTAAAGAATTGGATTAAAATCAAATTGAATTATGTAATTTCTATTTTCCCTATATATTAATGGTTTTCAAAGTGAATATTTAGAGTATAACTACAGATTTTGACTTTCTGGTCTGAAGATAAGAATGGCTATGGTCTGTTGACACATATTCATATTCTTTTGTGAAGCAGATTATTTGGTGCCATATTACATGATAATATTCATGTTGCCAGAGTCTCTACTCTCTTACAACCTCAGTTTGCTTTTTAGGATGGTATACTAGAAGAACAGTTGCGAATGTATCTTCACTGTTGTTTGACACTTTGTGGTTTTTGGGAACCAAATATTGCAGTTGTCACAATTCTGTGGGAATATTATAGCAAGAACCTGGTGAGTTAAAGAGTAAACAAATATGAACTTTTTCCAGAAATTTGAAGAATTTGTACATGATAGTAGTCAAAATTGTACCAGAAAGGCTTCTTTTAAAACCTCATTTGTCTTTTCTAACAGTTTTTTTATTATAACATAATAAACCGTACTGCTGTCCTAAATAAGAAATAGTTTTCACACTTGAATAGCAGATGTTATGCTACTGGGCAGATAAACATGTATCATAGATCAAAAGTTATAAATCATGGCAGGGCAGAGGAGGAAGTATCTAACCAGTGATGAACCTGTGGAAGGCTTTTATGAGCTCATAATTTTTTAACTTGATCTTTGGGAATGAGTGGGATTTTCCAAGTACAGGAGAAAAAAAATCCAGGCAAAAAGGACAGTATGGACAATGTATGGAGACAAGAAAAAATATGAACTATTCCTACTTTGTTAATTCTGAATAATAGGCCTGAGGTAACTATGTGGAGAAAAAGGAGATAAGGAAAGTAGAGATTATAGACTGGGGCATATATTGTGAGGGGTTGAAGATAACGTGCAGTTGGGCTGTAATTTATTCAGCAGAATTGGAAAGCAAGAATGTATATTTGAAGAAGTTTTTTCTGAAAGTTTTATAACTAATTATAGTACAGGTGACTTAGGAATCCATTGTAGTAGTATAAGCAAATAATTGCAGAGTATGCATTGTACAGTATAAGCTGTGAGTCAGAACAAAAACAGGGACAGTGGATTTAGAAAGAAGACAAAATTGGAAAATAATTTTAAAGGAAGATTTAAGATACTCAGTTACCTGCTGTGAGGGAACAGGATGTGGAATGTTTGGGTTTCTGGATAGTGAACCTTACAATTAAGATAGAAAATGAGAATGAAAGATTTTCAGGTCCATTACAAGTCTGGGTTTTTACATAATGAAGCTTATTAAACATAAAAATGCTTCTCTGTGAAGTATAATGTCAGGTTGGTTAGAGAAATGACTGACTCTGGTTCTGAGGCAGAATGTGTTCAAGATGAGTCTGGAGTATCTTACCATACCTGAAAGCCGGGGAGGTATCAAAGTAAGCTGGAGTCATGTCGAAGAGCATAGAAGGCAATATGAGGCTTGTTCAACACTGGGGAAATCTGAGCTTATTAGAAAGAGCAATGATTGCTATGTATTAAACCATTCCCAGATATGTTTAAATTCCTTAGTTGATGATACATTAGAAAAGTTGCTCTTCTGAAAAAAAAATTCTTCAATATTCTAAAACTTGTAAAGGAAAGGAAATGTAAACTGTACTATAGAGTAACCAAGTTTCTGACAAGCTAATTCAGAAGGAATGATAGGATTAGAAAATCAACATTTTGTACATCTGATGAAATAAGGCATTTGGGCAGTGATCATCAATGATTGCTAAAACTCTTAAGTAAAATGCTATTGAGGGTCACTAAAATGAAATCAGACTGACAACCTGCTAGATCTTAACCATCACAAAAAAATAAAAGTCAGAACTTAGTGCTTCTTTACTAATTTATGAAATAACAGGTACCTAGCACTACCAGTGAAAGATTCTTACCAGAAACATCCACCTGAATCTGATCAGTCCTCTAGATACAGGTATCAATTTACAGAGAAGGTAGGGGGAAAAATACATTATTTTTCATTACAGTAAGTGACACTAGGAGATAGAAACAACTAAAGCCAGAATGTGGGAAATTCTATGCAGTAAGTAACCTGATATTAAAGTAAATGGTATCAAATAAACACTGAAAAGCTTACAGAATGTAAGAACACTCTTAAGAGTCATATCATTTGAAAGCAGTGTGTAAACTTGATTGTGTACAAATTTGGATAAACCAACTGTTAAACATTATGGTGGACAATTCAGGAATTTACCTTTTGAGATTTTGTACTTTTATGGAAATTTTTTTTGGGGGGAATACATGACAACAGTTTGTATAATTTTTGTGATTAAGATAGTAAAACACTTAATGAGCTAATTATATCTTTCCATGCTTATTTATTGAAAGATTTAATAATTGTATTCTATCTTTTTGTTTTTAGAATAGTTCTTTCAGTATTTCTTGGCTTCCTTTGAAAGGCCTTGTAAATGTTGTTAAGTCACCTTTATCTATGCTAGAAATGGTGAAGACCTGCTGTTGTGATAAACAAGATCCTGACCTGTATAAGTCCAGCAGTAGTTATACCATTTTCCTTTGCATTTTGGCTAAAGTTGTTAAAAAAGCAACAAAGAATAATGGCCCTCATCCTTGGAAACAAGTCAAAGGAAGGTGTGTGTCATATTCTTTCTTTGTCATGAATGTTGACTGGTATTTTCAAAAGTTGTTAATGTTTTTGACTCCTAAATCATTTGATGGAACACATAATACTCAGAACTTTATTGCTAAAATAAATCATTGGAATTCACTCAATAAGAAGTCTTAACTATTAGGCAAATATTATGTAAGTACCAAGCACTATGGTGGGCATGATGGGAGATATAAAGATAATTTAAGCAGATATTATCACCTCAATTTTTTATAAATTGTCATAAATTATATTGCTTAATTTTTTTATAAAGTTATATGTTAAAAATAAAGTTTTTATAGTTCTTTATGAACATTTTACCTCATGAATATTCATCACTTCTATCTTGAATAAGTCACTTAGAGAAGTTGCAGAACTTTTCAATCCATAAGTTAGATTCAAGATAGTTTTCAATTCTAATTCTATAACTGATGAAAGAAAAGTATATCAGTTATTAAATTATATTGAGTAGTATTAACAAGAGGTTTTTAAATGGCTAGGCTGGAACACATGAACACAAATTTTTCTTTGCAAGTAGATTAAAAATAACTTCTTCAGCACCTTGAATTGTTTCCAGTGTAAATAAAACAAGGGCAAGTCTTTGTGAGGAGTCCAGAGAGAGAGCATTTAAGGAAAAATTGTTATATAAAATTGCCTGGTTAAGATTTCTGTAAAACATAGGAAATTGTAATTAAAAATTGTGTTCTTTCTTTTTTGTCAATAAAAAATAAGAAAGGAAAAGTGATGGAGGAACTAGAATAAGAGAAAAAGACATGTACTAATATGAAAAGGACATTTCTGAAGTCCTTTGGGGAAAACCACTGATTTGGTTTGACTTACAGATGATTTATTGTTGCATCATTGAGAAATTTGATGATCAGAGTCTTGTGAGTTTGTTCTCTAAGTACAGAAGTCATGGGCAGCATCATAATAAAGAACTATCAAAAAATTTAACAACATGAAACTGTCATGAGTATGATGAAATATTATTTTAAGAAATGAATTTTTGTGAGTGAAACAATTTTACTAAAGCAGTATTTTTTTTTACAGAATATATTCTAAATTCCATCAAAAAAGAATGGAAGAACTAACTGAAGTTGGTCTGCAGAACTTTTTCAACCTTTTTCTACTGTTAGCAGCTGTTGCGGAGCTGGAAGATGTAGCAAGTCGTGTTTTGGACCTCCTGAATTTCCTCAAACCTGCCTTTATGACATCTCCTCTAATTTGGAAGGGTCAGATGGCCTTCCTTTTGATGTATACTGAGAAAAATCTGGACATTGGTGTTTTGGCTGAGAAATTTTCAGGTGCTTTCCGGGAGAAAGCAAAGGAATTCTTAGTATCTAAGAATGATGAGATGGGACAAAGAGCGACTCTCTGGACACTTCTTTCTATCTATATTGATGGCGTTCAAGAAGTGTTTGAGACCAGCCATTACTTGCATCCTTCCCATGAAAAACTGCTTAATGATGGATTTAGTATGCTTCTACGAGCTTGTCAAGAATCCCAACTTAGGACAGTGTTGAATTTTCTACAGGCTGTTCTGGCCAGAATCAGGTATGTCTTCCAGCAGTGTGCTAATTTATTAATTTGTCTTAAATCATCACCTTATGTTGATTCCATGTTAAAGTTTTCCTATTCAGGAAATCCAGATATAGAAAGAAGAATTGGTTTTACTGCTACACTGTCATAAATAAGTAGTTTTCACACTATTATTCAAATAGCAGTTCTATGAAAGAAAGCTTAGGTGCAAACACAAATAGCAAAACTAAATTTAGAGTCTATCTCTGGTGAAGTTCTAGAACTTTGTCTCTTAGCCCCTTCTCTTTTTACCTCTCCTAAAAGGCTATTATTATCCAGAGCTTTATTTTAGTTACCCTAAACAATACCATGAGCTTAAATCTGAGGTGAGTTTTTACTAAAATTTTGTGTTATAAAGGAGATTAAATGCTCCATTAAAAAAAAGAGTAAGTTTCTTTAAATATTTTCCTATAAAGCTGTAGTCTCAACTGTGTAAACTACTTCCAGTTAAAAAATTTATAATGACATTAAGATTGTTCTATTATTACAACAATCCCCTGTATAAAACTTAATGTTTTCAGATCCTCTTAAAGTATGCATATGTACATACACTTAGACCCAAACTTAATGATGGGTAAGAGCAATGATTATGACATTTATTACCTTGAAGACTCAGAACACATTAAGTTTTACCTTTGAAGTAGACATTCTTAAGTTAGATATTATCACTTAGTATATATAGTTAGTCACTGTACCTGAAAATTTATATAAAAATTATGTATAGAAATAGGATTTTATTTGAAATCATACCTGAAAATACTGAAGACACTGTTTTCCTCTTTCTAATAACATAAAAATAGAATCTGGTTTTCAAAAGTATTAAGCTTAACAAAATTTCTAAATTCTGGAACTTTATTCATTACCAATTGTACTTATTGCTAGTTTATATAATTTGCTTTGTGCTGGGCTATATGTTCAAGCTGATTATCTCAGATTCTCACTCATAAGGTTTTATATAATTTTTATATTCATCTACTCTTGCTAGTTTTAATTCCAAAGATTTACCCAGAATACTTGGATCAGGTAATGATACTTCTGACCCACTTTACCCACTGTAAGTTAAGGTAAAGCAGGAATCAAAAACCCCTCAAAGTTTTGGAGAGATGAATAAGTAAATAAATAAATGACTTCATTAGTTATTTTGGGTCTTATGTATGAACTACAGTTGCTTTTAGTTTAGTAGAGTTTTTAGCTGATTTTATGCTCTCCCAAGTGCCAAATTCATTTTATTTGTTCCTTTTTTAAATAAGTGACATACAATATTTCCCTGTGCTTCCTAGGCAAAATTGGAAACTTCTGTATTTCTGGTACCATTTTTGGTTTATTTATGCTTGTTTGGATACACAAAACAAGAAGAAAGGAGGGAGCTGGTCTAAACCATGTTGTAATGATGATCCACAGTCCTGAAATGATTTAGGGGCAAAGGAATAGAAAATGAAGGGGGGAGGTGTGGGCATCTTGTGAAGAGGTAGTCATGGAAACAAAGTGACAGAATCTGTATATCTTTCTGCTTTTTCCACTGAAGATGGATCGGTCCCTTTTAATCTGACTTAACAGTTGTATTGCTTACATAGATTGTTTCTTCAATGAGGGCTCATATCCTCCAAATGCTATTAATTTAACTTTTTATTAGAAACTTTTATTTTGTTGTTAAAATTTTCATTAAATTGCAAACATTTATTGTCATGGGAAAAAAAAAAGCAAAGCTAAGATGTAAGGTGACAAGTAAAAGTTCCTCTCCCCACTTTTACTCCTTTATTCTTTAGTTCAGTGAAAAGGGTTGTTGCTTCGTGGGGACTTTTAATTACTTTGTTTTTATAAATTTGCCAGTAGCATAATTTTAGTTGGAAAGAATGAATCACAAAGTGATATGCACATAAGTAAGTCATATTTATAATAATAATTTATCTGATTTATTAGCACTGTTTCAAACATCTAAAATTCACTTCTTGTAATAAAAACAATTTTTTTGCGCTATAGATTCAATTTAGATCTCAAGTGCTTTAGAATTAAAGTCAAAGCTATTTCAGGAATGTTGGAAAAATAATCCTTGCAGGTCCCTTGTAAGCTGTTAGGTGTCTCATTTAATCTATGGGGTCACTATTCAGAAATACAGAAGTAAGAATCAAGAGGACTTAATGAGGACTGTTGATTGCATAAGTTTAAAAGAAGCTTTTTATTAGGAGTATATTTTAACTAGCTTTGTTTGGAGTTTTTATGAGTTTTAGTAGGGGCAAAGGTTGTATTATCGATCTTCATCTAGAGAAGAACACAAATTTATGTTAATAACATTTGATTCTCTGATGAATATCAAATCATGTTTAACTTGTAGCCAAAATTATACGATAGTTCTAACAGATTACAAGTATGAAGTCCACATGTGAGTAAGAATGGTTCAGTAATGTGTAGGCCTTTATTAATACTGTCATCTTTTAGGCATTGCCATCTTTTTAAATTTCTGAAGCTTGTACATATTCTTCAATGAAACTGATTACAACATTTAATAAGAGAGGCTGACTTGGATAGTTTCCTTTTATTCCAACAGTCTTTAGAACTTCCAGGACCATTATTGTCAAAACAGACTTGTTTTTAGTTTGGGATCTTTTGGAATGGCCCCAAAGATCATTTAGGATTATTTACCTTAAAAAGAATGAAGTAGGTGAGTCAGGGATGGAAAACACAAGAAAAAGTCCTTTAAGTATTTGATCATTGAGATGTTTGTAATTTATTAACTCCAAATCTGGAACTTCATTGACAATAAAGCAGCTTTTAGGTATGCTATATTATTAGTAATATTTTTACAAAGTTAAAAAAAAAATTGGATAATTATCAAAAATTGAAGCATAGACTTTTTTCCCCCCCTTTTATGTTAAGAACAGAACTAAACTCTTTTGGTCTAGATAGGGAAGCGAGGTTACATAGATTGATGATATTTATTCCTGGCTGCATCCCTGACAAGTGAAAGAATGAAATACTTTACCTTAGCCATCTCTTCTGTTTTCAAATTCAGGTGGGAATAAGGTACCCGGCCTTGCATAAATGTGTGTGCAGGATGTGTGAGTGTGTGTGTTGAACTGGGTAATAGTTTTATAACTGTATGACAGAGAAATTATAGGTAGGAAAGAACTAAAATCACTGATTAAAGGGAGAAGCGGCTCCCCCTGGGCTGTTAAGAAATAATAACTTCACATGCCACTTTCTGCTAACTGGAGCTGATGGCTCACCAGAGCATTCTTTATTGCTGATTAAGTAGCATTATGAAAATACTGACTTGGTTATGTAACTAAATGCCTCTGTGTTTAAAACTTCGAATGTCAAATAGTTTTAGCAGTCATCTTTAACATTTCACATTACCTTTCTGGAATCACATTTCTCCTTCTCACTTGCTGTTATTTGAGGTTAATATAAAAATGGCAGTCTTTCATTTGCAGAGTTAGGTGTAGCCAAAAGCTTTTCTTTAATTATATCCACTCATGCTGCTATAGTTAAGGGTCTGTCAGCATTTCCATTATAAACCTCCTTTTTCAGGGTTTATAATACAGCTATGAAAATTAGCTCTGGGCGAAAACTTGACATACAAGGCCTCATGAGATTCTCCCTCCTTTCCATCCCCCTTTCTCATTTTTACTGAAGTAAGGGTGAGTGATTTCAAAATGCCTTTTGGCATCTGCAAATATCATTTGGAGTTTAAAAAGAAACAATGAATTTTCAGGCACTGTACCTGTTTGTTCTACAACTTAAGGGAGGTTGTGGACTGAGGAATTTAAGCCAAATGGGTATTGATCAACTGACATCTATTTTGTATTAAGCGAGAGCCTAGTTTCAAAGAAGTTTACAGGCAGTTGAAAACTTAACCTAAAATATCGAATGTTAAGACTAAGAAATAGTTTAAAAGGAATGATTACCTTGTTTTCATGGCCTATGTGCTGAAGCTTAATTCCTTGAAAGACTGTTTCTCTTTTTCCTACCTCCAAGTACATTTTGAAAATATATGTATTTTTAAATTCTTTTTTTTTGTTGTTTTTTGAATTTTTATTTATTTACTTTTTTACTGAGGTAGTATTGCAGTACCCCCATCAGTCATTACCACCATAGTGTACCCACTACCGACTCACCCTATTCTACCACCATAGACCATTGTGCTTCCTTCCTTCTTTGTTCTTTCTCTTGCCTCTTGTGTTTCAGTTCTGTAGTCAGCTGTCAATGGTTAATTTTTCAGCTTGTCTTTATATGTATATATAATATATATTTGTGTGATATTTGTTTTTTGTCATATATATTTGTGATGATTTGATGCAAATTTGTATTTGATTTGATACAAACTGGGGGCACTGTTCTCATAATTTGGGGGAGTGAGCACATTTGTGTGCTCCATGGAAAAATTTATTTCCAGTTTTTATTTGAAAAATCAAATAGGTGCATTTCTCACTAAGCATAACCCATGTACCAGTTTTGGTTGTTTTAGAGAAAACATAGGTGTCTCTAAAGATATTGTAGTATAAATATTAACATTTTGAGAATATGTAAAATATAAAAATTTCTTGTACTATAAATTCTTCCTGTGTTTTTCAGTGGAAATTTTACATATATACTGTGCATTAGTATTTTGACCTTATTTACTCTACCAGTCTTGATTTTTACAAAGTTTATTTAGTTTAGGCCTTTTATTGATATATATTTTATAAATTCATGTAGTAATATAAACTACTCACCTATTTAATTACCTTGGAGGAATTTATGTACCTATTTTTTAATGGAATATGGATTGTCTACTTAATTTTTCATGTTGGGAATTAAGATTTGGTCTTTTATTTAGTCTATAACTAAATCTGTTACATAAATGAATTCTTATGTTAAACCAAAACTGTCTACTCAAATATTGTAAAGAAAAATTTATATCTAAATTTCAGATTAGTTGGCAAGGTAAAGATATTACCATGTACCTTGCTAGGTTATTCTCAGGATTAAATGAAATA